GAGAGAGAGAGAGAAGTATGTAATAATTTAATCAATTTGAACCTACATCAGCAATATCTTGTTCGGTAGCTTTAAATGGCAAACCACGCATGTGTATACTATGAATACCGGAATTACCACCCCATGTATCACCGCTGCCTCTGAAATTTCCACCTTTCATATCCAAACCTCCTCTCATTCCCATACTTCCTCCGCGTGAATCAAAATTATTACCACTTCCCCATGGACCACCATCAAAATCTAAAATATCAAATATTGATAATACACATAAAAAAAAATTTAATATATAGTAATGCTTGCTTAATTGATATCAGTTGATCTGATGGAACTAGATTCAATTAATTATAGAGGTAAGAATTCTGGAATTTTATATTTATTTCTTATTCAAATCTATTGCAGTCGAGAATAATAAATATTAAAAAAAAGATAACAAAGAAACCCTTTGTAATAAAAATATAAAAAATTAATAAACTCTGTATTAACTAAATATGTTAAAATTACATCAGTTAAATATGCATTACTATAATTCTTACTTCTTATTTTAAATAATTATTAGTAATACCTCTATTTCTAGAACCTCTACTATTATTGCTGAAACGATTCATCCCTCCGAAACGGGAACCACGGTCATAAGGAGCAGGTCTCTGATTGAAACCTCCCATTGGTCCTCGCATTTTCGGACCAATGCTAGCACGTACTTCAGATAAACTGCTTCGGAAGATTTCGATGTATCTGTTAAGATTGATATTATAGTTATTATTATTTTCATATGAATATTATTGCCGTTCGTATAGTCGGCTGCCTTCTCAAATAAGAGAAAATTCGATGCAAAAATATCAACGAGCATAAGATTTTTAAACGAAGGAAGATATAAATAACGGTACGAATGTAAAATAAACCTTTTTATACCGATACTAATCGATTATTTATGTTTTAAACATTAAAAAAATATTAAAAATAAAAGTAAGAAAAATGATAAATGGCTTATGGAAAAAATCCATACTGAAAATTTTGTAATGGATTAACTGTTCATACTACACCTCCGCATATTTATTAAACCTGTGTGTAGATACCCTCCCTCGGTGACATTGCATTCTGATGTCACCATTATCCATTGAGATGCTGATGATCCTTAGGTATATGACAATTACAATTGCACTTTATGCAATAAGAGAAAAAGAGAGAGAAGAGATTAAATAATAAGTATCGAGAAGCGATACAAATAAAATAGAATATTTTATATTCAAATACATATTAGATTTTTATTAAAAAAAAGAAAGAAAGGAAAAGAAAATAAAAAATCTAGAAAGCTAAATAATTAAAGATAGCGCATTTTATTTTATATAATGTAATATAATATTTCCGTGCAATTAAAGAGCTGTATCAACTATATATAGTGATTTTTAGAGAAAAATTGTGCAAAGCCTTTTAATTTAAATTATTATATTATTTTGCATAAAACGTACAATTGTGCAATTGTCGAACAGTTGTGCCAAATTAGATCGATGATTACTACCTCTGTAGCGCCCACCCATCCTGGGTTAGCCCTACCCACTTCCCATGGGATTTGGTGATGTAAGGGGGTACCTCCCGCCCGGCACCCACCCATAGGTTTTAGTTGGGCCAACAGTACTTTCGCTTACGTACGACTAACTTTCTTTTATTTGTGTTCAAAGAGAAGCAGTTTCCTTATTCGATTAATTTCTATATTAGTATATAAATAAAATAACCAATGTAATTTATAATATGTATTTTAAAATATATTTTATAACTATATACTGTAACAATAAAAGTTTATTTAAATATAGTTTATTTTTATTAAAATTTGTTCATTTATTAAATAGAGTTTATTAAATAAAAAAACTGCATCTATATAAAAATTCGCTCCCGCTATTTACTAACAAAATTTATATACCTACATGTACTACGATCATAAAATGATATTGAAAAGTCGTAAGTATACCCAAACCCAGCTAGCGTCAGTGCCCCACCTGTGTCCTATCTTTTCCTTGTGTTTCTGCAGAGCGCGCTCCGCAACATCTTTGTTAACAAATTGAACGTAAGCCTCCCCAGTACTGCGGCCCGTGTAGTCTGTCGGTAGTGAAATCCCGTTCGGCAATATCTCCAACCCTGACCCACACATAATCAAACATCGACATTGTAGCGTAACACCCATTATTGATTATAGTATCGTCAGTTTATTTAAAACCCTTATACAGAAGCAAGATTTAAAATATCCTTTGCACATTATGTGCAAAACGTCTCGCTCTAAAAATATGCATTTTTTACAATAACAACAATAACAACAACAACAACAACAACAACAATAACAATAATAATAACAATAATAATAACAATAATAAGAATAATAACAATAATAATAGTAATAATAATGATAATAATATTAATAATAACAATAATAATAAAAATGATAATAATAATAACAATAAAAGAAAAAAAATTAATTATGCCGAAGTTAAGAATTAAATTCTATAATTTAAAGAATATATTTTTATATATTGCATATATGTAACATTATAGAAATTAAATTTTTAAAATTTTTTTTTGAAATTTATAAAAAATTGCATAAAATATAGAAACTTTATTTTTATTAATCTTAAATCTTAACTAGGGCTATCTGCTGATTAAAAAAACACAGAGATATTGCTTAAGATAAATATAAAACAAACATTGAAAATTTATATATGAGATTTTTAAAATATTGAAAGTTTTTATTTTAGCACACGATTTGTTTTGATAATATCTTTAATCTTGCATTCATACTCTAGAAAACATATATTATTTATTTTTAATTTTAAATTATTTCTATCTCAATTTAAAAACTGATTATATTTTATATTATATTATTATTATATTAAATAAAAACTATACTTTAATATTATATATGTACTATAAGCATCAAAAGCATTTAATCTCTGTGATTCAAAATGTCATTTGATCAACTAAAATTAAATAAAAAAATTAATTAAAAAATTAATTAAAAAAAAATAATATATATTAATTATTAACAAGATATAAGTTAACATCTAAAAATATATATTATTAAAAAAATAGATAAATATACGTATAATATAAAATACCTGAGAAAAATTGTGCAATCTCTTCTTTAGAACAGCCAAATGGTAGACCACGTAATCTCACACAACCATCATCCATAGCATTTTCTAGGTTCATACCACTTCTTTTGACTACCCACTCCATTTCACCTCTTTTTGCTTTAAAAACTAAAGAAAGAATATAATATATTAATTATTTTCTTCAAAAATTTTTAATTTTTTTTAACAGACCCTCTATATAACGATGTCCCATGTGATCTCTATCTCGTTTGCAAGCTTTTTCAATATCTTCAAGTGTATCCATTTCTACATAAGCCTCTCCACTTGGACGTCCTTCTCGTGACATTGTCATATGGACACCATTTTTACCATTTGTGATAGAACAATCGCTAAAGAATTTCATGATTTCATCAACTGTAGTTGACCATGGAAGTCCACGTAATTTAACAACATAACCTTCGTCATCATGATCTCCACTTCCATTAGACATGGTTTTAGTCTAAAATAAACTATATTATGATTTATAAAAATATTGATTTTTTTTTATAAAATTTTATTTATTGTATTTAATTAAATAGTGATTATTATTATTTTTATTTATTTTTTAAATGTAGTATTAAAATATCTTCAAGTATTAAAATTTTTTTTATTTAAAATTTTTATTTAAATTAAATATTGTATAATATATGATATCATATATTAAATTTTTAATAGTTATTTAAAAAGATGAGTGATATTCAATAAAATGTTAAAATAAAAATAAAAATTTCGTAATATTTTATCGTAAATTGAAAAATATATATGTATATACAAAAATGCAATATTTGCAATTTACTTGTAAGAAAAACTAAAAAAAAAGTACTTCGTAACTGAAAAATTTTTATAATATAGAAATATTTTAGTGCTCATTTTTATGTAAATAAAACTTATTTATTTAATAAATTAGAGATACTATATTTATACTTACGACTTTGCTGGTCTATAAATTGAAAAGAATCACAAATTAATTTTAATTGACAGCAAACGTTCATCCAACACCACGCTCTATAAAACTACCAGCAAAATGGCGTTTATCATAACGATATTTAAGGCTCGTTTATAAATATAAATGAAGTATATTATTTTTATAATATTTTTTTATAAAAGTATTTATAATTTTTCTTTACTAAAATTAATGATTTTTTTAATTAATAATTTAAATTTTATAAATAATATATGTTTTAATCAAAAATATTTTGTTTTTTAATATTTTGAAAGTATTATAAATGACTAATAATTATTACTTTATGAACATACTATTATATAAAACAATTATATTTTATTAACTTAAATAGAAAATTATATTTCATTGAAATTGAAATAAAATATATCATTTAATAATATAAAAAAAACGTATTAATATTATTTATAAAAAACAATTATAATTATTATTAATAAGATATCTATGTTGAAGTTCCTAAATTCATCTAAGTTTTATTACATAAAACATATTTTTTATTTATTATATTAATTGTATTATACATACTATAGTATTATATTTAGATTTTAGATTTATTTAATTAATGTATTAATATTATTTATCATATATTTGATATAGAACTTTGAATAATGAAATATTATAAATCATAAATTTACAATAAATTAAAAATATGTCTATAATCACGTCTGAATAGAGGTCGTGACTGAATCTAAAGGAGTAAAATCCCGTTCAACAGTGGAAGGATTAAAGTGAGGTGATCGTGAAAAAAGTAGTTGACAAAACTTGTATTGTGTTGGTGGAAGTAAATGTATGGTCGATTTTAAAAAGAATCATAGCTAAATCTCAAAATATTATATATTGTGAAGATAGTTAACAACACGTGTAGCCGTATAATTGTGAATTAGATAAATTGATAAATCATCCAGAAGTACACAATGAGCTTCCTATTGTAAGTTTTTTTTTTCATTTCTAGTGAAAATCGACATTTTCTTTTGCGATATGCTTTTATTTTATTAAAATTCTGCATTATATACAATGCACTACAAAAATGGATTTCGTGATATTCAACATTCTTTTGTTAATTAATCATTCGATATCATGCCAATTTCATTCGTGAATGACAAATGACAGTAAAGAAGAAACTAGTAATTTGTTACCATGAATCGATCACAATAGATATTGATAAGAACTGCTTTGTTGCAACTCTGAAAATAATCTTCTTAGTTAATTTAGATTCTTAATGTATTCTTGAAATTGTCATTTTAATCGACTAATCGATGGGTAAAAATAGCGTAATAATATAATTTTTGTTTTAAAAAATCTTCTGTTTTTTTTAAATTTTCAATCTTTTTTTTCGTCTCTACTTTCACTGTTTGTGCATATATTCATCATATATCAAATATATCGCAACGAATTATATCATGGAAATAGAATCTTTCAGAATATTCCGATTAATATTAAAGAAATGTTATTTATAATTGATATATTTATCATATTTATTAATCAATCTAATTGATTTTAATTATTCATAAATTTAATATGCTTCGTTTTTGTATTTTGTTTTTGATTTTTATAATTCATCATACATCAAATGTATCGCAACAAATTATATCATGGAAATAGAATTTTTCAAAATATTCCGATTAATATTAAAGAAATGTTATTTATAATTTATATATTTATCATATTTATTAATCAATCTAATTGATTTTAATTACTCATAAATTTAATATGCTTCGTTTTTATATTTCGTTTTTGATTCCTATAATTGATCTTTGTTTATTTCTAATATATATATATATATATATATATTAGTTATTTGTACAAAATTTATAATAAAATAATTCAATTTCAAATATATATATAAAATGTAAGATAATGTAAAAATATATATATAAGAAATAGATATAAATAAAAATTTCATAATTATAGTAAATATAAATATAATATTATTTTTTTGTTATAATATAAAATTTTAAAAGTTAGCTATTATTCAAACATATTTTTTAAGTGGAAGCAGATCTTCAAAAACCTTCAAACCAAAGAAAAATATTCCAGAAGGAACTCATCAATATGACTTGATGAAACATGCAGCAGCCACTTTAGGTTCTGGCAATTTGAGACTTGCAGTTATGCTTCCAGAAGGTGAAGATTTGAATGAATGGGTTGCAGTAAATAGTATGTGTCAGCATATTATTGTATATTTTTACTTGTAATATCCAATAAATTATAAAAAGAAAAAAATGGTTGTTTTAGCTGTTGATTTTTTCAACCAAATCAATATGTTATATGGCACTATCACAGAATTCTGTACTGAAGAAAGTTGCCCCATCATGTCTGCAGGACCAAAATATGAATACCATTGGGCTGATGGGCATACTGTCAAAAAACCAATTAAATGTTCTGCACCAAAATATATTGATTATTTAATGACTTGGGTACAAGATCAATTAGATGATGAAACTTTATTTCCTTCAAAAATTGGTTAGTTATATTATTTTAAACATAATATTCTTATATTAATATATTAATTTTTAATTTTTTAGGCGTTCCTTTCCCAAAAAACTTCTTATCTATTGCTAAAACAATATTGAAAAGACTATTCAGAGTATATGCTCATATTTATCATCAACACTTTAGTGAAGTGGTTCAACTTGGCGAAGAAGCACATTTAAATACATCATTCAAACATTTTATATTTTTTGTTCAAGTAAAAGATTTAAAATTAAACAAATTTTTAATAAATTAAAAAACAAATTTTATTTATAATTATAATTTTTGTAATATTAATACTTTCTTATTTTTTATTCTTATAGGAATTTAATTTGATAGAAAGAAGAGAATTGGCACCATTACAAGAATTAATAGAGAAGTTAACTGCAAAGGATGCTCGATGAATGATCTTAATAGTTAACTGAAAACTCCTCCAAAGAATCTCACCGTGCTATCTTTTTAACGTGTAATTGTGCATGTTATTTAATTAATCCAATTCATTGCTAATGCAATCATTGCCTCAAACTAGAAGTCACTGGTATTATATAATATAAAATATTTTATTCATTTACAAAAAATAAGTAACTGATTCAGATATTTTATAAAGTAAATGATTCAGGTATTTTATAACAAAGATAATTCTCTCTAAAGAAAAAAAAAATTCGATCTTTTAAAAGATTGATAAAATTATGATAAGAATTAAAGAGGTAAGAATAATAAACATACATTTTTAAAAAATAATTACATCTATTCATTTGAAACAAATTATAATTTGTTTTGTTTTTTATATTTCAAAGAAAGAAAGAAATGTTATTTCTTAAAAATGTTTCGTTGTTAATTGTAATATATTAATGTATAACAAATTTTGAGAAAAAAAATATGACATAAGAAGAAATTAATTCGGCTATATAGAAGGGATTATAGTTTTAAAAAAATGTTGAACTCGATTTTATTTTTATTGTTTGTTATTATTTTTCGAACTATTATGTAGTTTCATTATAAAAGTTTGAGAAATATTATCATTCTTATAAATAAAAATAATACTGACTACATGTAATATTTGAAAATAAGAATCCTCTCGATAGCATTTCTTTTGTTTTTTTATCTTTTCCTTTTTTTAATTTATGATTCTTCGCAAAAACATTGAATTTTTAATTATTGACGTAAATTGAAAGACCGAAATTTGACATCTTATCATTGCTAATATTGTTAATATATAATACATAGTTATTATAGTTATTAAGTTAATATATACGCTATATACATGTAACTACATAATAATTAATTTAGACAATTATATGCTAATTATACTTGCAATAAAATTTATTTATAGTATTAGAAATTTTATATGAATTAAATTTTTATTTTTTATGTGAATTTAATCTTTTATATTATCTGTTTAGTCTTTCTTATTATCTGCTTATATTATCTTCAAACTATTTGCGTTATAGAAAAAGTTTTTTATATATTTAATTTTCTTTCTTTCATTTCATTTAAAAATTATTTCTCTTTGAACTTTTTGAAATTTTTTATAAAAAAATTTGCAAATAAATATATTAAAAGTTAATAATTATTTATGTTCTTATAATATAGATTTTATTGAAATGAAATATTAATAAGTTATGTTTAATTTGATGGATACAGGGTATCCTAGAAAAAACATAAAGGATAAACATTTTCATATAAATAACAGTAAAAACATAATATATATAGTTACAGTTTTATTATTACGAAATCAATTTTGATATATAGAAATATCGAATAGAATATATAATTTCTTTTACAAATATATTGAATTACTATGATTTTTAAGAGAAATCGAATATTTATAACCACTTACTGTTTCACGCATGTGTAATTGCATTTTTTATATTAATTCAAATATTTAAATGAATGCATTTGCTTGTAATTAGAAAATAGTTCCCGGATGATTTTGTTCATAAGTTATGATCGAATTTTATATTTTTACAAGTAATAAGCTATATTATGATGAAATGAATTTTTAATTATTTTTTATAGCTATCCATATAAATTATTGTGTGCAATTATAAAAAATTGTTTGATTTCTAAAATATTTTGTTCGAAATATTGCATAAAAAATATGATTTATATTTATGTCTTATAAGAGATATAAGATTTAATCACATTTTATTTTGATATTTTCAAAATTTGAATAGTGATTTGACATTTAAATAATTGTTTATTGAAATATAGTTTACATATATTTTATATACAAATTATAAATTGAATAATATAATATTACAAATCTAATTCAATATTGTTTGTAATATGTTTTTAAGTTTTAAATATTTCTTAAATTATCAATAACTATCAATAACTTTCGGTATTATTTAATCTTTGAGAAAAGTTCAATTTTAAAATTGCAAATTATATAAATAAGAAATATTATATATAACTCCTTGTATGTCTTATCAATTTAGCGACTGCATATCAAAAACTCAGAACAAATCTAATTTTATAATTTAATAACTAAAAAATTAGGAATAAATGGAATTTGAAATTACATCAGAAATTAAATTATTAGACTTCAAAGGGAATAAAAACAGTGTTATTTTTTTTTATAAAAAAAAAGCTATTCTTTAGTTTATATTGATTATTTAATTCTTTTGCATTAATATATAAAAATTGAAATATTATATAAGATTGTTCGATGTGATAACATTTTTCATGTAACCCATGAGGATCAATAAGAAATTTCACAATAGGATTAATATAAATGTATTTTATTATAAATGATATGAATGAACTAGCTTTCATAATAACATATATAAGTATTTATGAGTAGTAAAAAAAAAAAAAGCAAATAATTATATAAATGGAAACAAATAAACTTCGAAGATAATAATGGGCGATTTGAGAGATAAATTTTTTCGTGGCGGCTTTCAAATGCATTTTTAAATGTAAAATGAATATAAACAACAGTAAAAATCATAATAATGGCTTGTATTGATGATAATATTATATTCAGTACTTAAGAAAACCGAATTATATCTTATGGAAAAAAATTTTTGCAGCAAACATATTTCGTTCCTCTTTTTCTTAATCTTAAATATTTTTCGATTAGAGGAGCGAGATCGTTTGAATACATTAGTGTTGCTAGTTAGATATTACTTTATATACAAGTAATGCTATTAATAATTGTAATTATTATTATTATTGTTATTGATAATAATATTCAGACGATTATCGCTAATACTTTTATTGCTATTATATTTATATATATAATTTACGATTAGTATTGTTGGATCAGCATTGAATAATTATTTTTTTGACTGAAGATATATATGAATTCGATATATAATTGATTGATTTATTTGATTTAAATTTTAAAATCACAAGCGATTTTTTTTTAACACACACACATATATGTATAATATTATATAATATTGTATAAAATAGTGTATAGTTATTAACATTAATATTCGATCATCCTTCTATTTCTAGATTTGTTATCTTGTATAATTATATTTCGTAAATATTAATTAAAAAATTATTTCTAATAATATTTATTTATATATTTGATTTTTTAAAAAATGAATTTTATACAAATAATTATTTTATATATCATATCAATCAAATATTTAAATAATATTAAAAACAAAAAAAAATATTGAACTCATTTTTGTAAATGTTTTGTAGTAGTAAAATATTGTAGTAAAATATAAAAATAAAATGAATTCTGTATTCAAATAAAGAAAAAGTAAATAAAAGTATAAAAATAAGTTTTGTGTATATATGCAGGATAAAATATTTAAAATAGATTACTTAAATAATTCGTTATTTTTGATGGTTTTTGATTTCAAAGAAAATAATTTGATATTAATATTTTTTTATAGATAAAGATATCATATAATGGTCAATTTTTTTATTTTAAATAGAACGATATGTTATTTATCTTTTGATGAAATATTTTAAGACGAATAATCTATAATAATCTATAATTGAAGATTATTCAAGTATATCTTTCGAAATCAAACAACATTAATATGATATATTTATTTTTATCATTAAAAATAAGTAAGTTATTTAGATAGTCAGATTTTAAATGCTTCATCTTGCGTTTACAAAAATATAATGATTATATTTGATTAGGTATTGTTTATTCATATACAAAGTAACAAATTCAAGATATCTGATGGTTGTATCTGAATATTAATGTAAGTTTAATAGAAGATGTTTAGATGAAGTAAATAGTAATAGTAAAGAATTATTCTAAAAATTAAAATAAAAACTATTATGCAAAAATATCAATTGTAACTTATTTATTAAATTAAAAGCAATTTAATTTTATATTAAAAGATATGGAAATAGAATGGGATGATTTTTCGATATATTTTATCTTTGTCTCGCGTTATCTAATATAAAATTAAGTTGTTTATATAATTCGAAAAATAAATTTTAATTGACATATTAAATTTTATATTCGTTCAGTTACCAAAATTATTTCTTTTTACTTTATTCTATTTACTTTATTCGAACATTGTATGTTTTATCATGATTTTTATGAATTTATTTTTTTTAAGCTTATGCTGTTAAGCTAATGCCGGAGATTGTATTCTTGATATTGCTGAAAGCTTCTTCATAATTATTGATTAAACAAATGTTTGATAAATTTTAGAATTTTAGAAATTTGAATATGAAAATTTTAGAATTTCAAATATCGATAATATATGAGCATTTTGTTTTATTCAGATATAAATAAATAAAAACATATAGAAGAATGTAAAAAAGTAAAAAAAATTAGATGAAATATATTTAACGAATTTTAGATTTTTAAGATGGTTTATATTGTCTTTTTTTAGACAAATAGAAAATAGTAACTAAAAAATTTGATAATTCAGTTTAGAATTTTTTTTTTCTTTTTCTTTATATTTTAAAAGCAAGCTTATATTTGTAACAATTGATTTTTATTGAATTTATAAAAATAAAGATATAAAATGTAATTTAAATAGAACGAATTTGATATTATTATTTTTTGCAATTGAATATATATTTTTATTGTTCATATATTATTTGTTATTAATTATTTTATACAAAAGGTTTCAGAAATATCGATTGTTAATTTTCTATGTAACGATATTAGTAATATATTTGCAATGTAAATAATATTTTTTTTCAAATAAACGAAAGTTTATTCAGAAAGTGTAATCATAAAACATAATTGCTTTTTATAAATCCATACTTTCTTTTTTCCTTTTGAAATTGAAACTTTATTTATCCAATCTTTTACTTTTATTTTTAATTAAAAATAGATTTTACAACGTATTATACGATACATGGTTTGGGAGAAATATTTAAAAACATGATCTTTGATCTATTTGATCTATGATCCGTATATAATGTAAGATAATAGTAATGTAAGATATAGTAATGGAAAAAAGAAATATCAAATATCAAATATGAATATTTATATTATAATTTATTATATTTATGAAGTGTATACATTCTATATGTTGCGAAATCGATTATGATAAAGAATACTATTAAATAATATATTGCTTGCATTGAAAAATATTTATAATATA